CCCAACTAGGCTGCTTAAAGAAGTTGTTCCCTTAATTGGCACTTCTTTACTGGATATGATTAATCTTTCTTTATTATCAGGATATGTACCACAGTCCTTTAAAGTAGCTGTAATTAAACCCCTTCTTAAAAAGTCCACTCTTGACCCAGGGGTTTTAGCCAACTATAGACCGATTTCTAACCTCCCCTTCCTCTCTAAGATTCTGGAGAAAGTAGTCGCCAAGTCGACAAGAGTTGTGTGACTTTCTACATAACAATAGTTTATTTGAGGATTTTCAGTCAGGATTTAGAGTTCATCATAGCACAGAGACAGCTCTGGTTAAAGTTAATAATGACCTTCTGACTGCTTCTGACAATGGACTTGAGAAGAAGTGGATTCATTTAGGCTAACATACTCCTCGTGGGACAGCCAGGTCTCAGTAAGACAAAGTAAATCAATATCATAATCTGATATTAATTAATTCACTAAAACAGCTACCTGATATTTACCAGTCCACATTTCATTCTTTTACTTTGTGCTACTGAGGAGTTAGTATTTAGTTAGTTTTTGTGTTGAACTCCTCTTGTTTTTATTTCTTTAAATAATTTAGGTGGTCGGGGGACAGACACAGTCTCTATGGGGTTTTGGGTGGGTGACTGTTCTAAAGAAAGCGCAGAGAAGTGTGTAAGACAGCAGCTCTGCTTCCTGGTCCCAACTCTGGACTGTCAGGTTTTAGAAATAAACTTCGCCATATTCCTAGATAAGAGAGCCACTCCATCCAAAGTAGGATGGATGCCGTCTCTCCTAATCAGACCAGGTTTTCCCCAAAAAGGCTTCCAGTTATCAATGAAGCCCACATCGTTTGCTGGACACCACCTCGACAACCAGCGGTGGAAGTCCGACATGCAGCTATACATGTCATCACTGGTCACATTGGGCAGGGGTCCAAAGAAAACTACGGAGTCCGACATAGTTTTAGCATAGTTACACACCGACTCCACATTAATTTTGGTGACCGAAAACGATGTGGGCTTCATTGATAACTGGAAGCCTTTTTGGGGAAAACCTGGTCTGATTAGGAGAGACGGCATCCATCCCACTTTGGACGGAGCGGCTCTCTTATCTAGCAACATGGCGAAGTTTATTTCTAAAACCTGACAGTTCAGAGTTAGGACCAGGAAGCAGAGCTGCTGTCTTACACACTTCTCTGCTCTTTCTTTAGAACAGTCACCCACCCAAAACCCCATAGAGACTGTGTCTGTCTCCCGACCACCTAAATTATTTAAAGAAATAAAAACAAGAGGAGTTCAACATAAAAATCTAATAAAAATTAAAACTAACTCCTCAGTAGCACAAAATAAGAGAATGAAATGTGGGCTGTTAAATATCAGGTCTCTGTCCTCTAAAGCTGTTTTAGTGAATGAATTAATATCAGACTATGATATTGATTTACTTTGTCTTACTGAGACCTGGTTGTCCCACGAGGAGTATGTTAGCCTAAATGAATCCACCCCCCCCAGTCATATTAATACTCACATTCCTCGAGGCACAGGCCGAGGAGGTGGAGTGGCAGCCATATATGATTGGAGCGTTTTAATGGACCCTAAACCTAAACTAAATTATAATTCATTTGAAAGCCTTGTTCTTAGCCTTTCTCACCCAAACTGGAAAACACTGCAGCCAGTTCTATTTGTTATAATGTACCGCGCTCCTGGACCGTATTCTGATTTTATATCTGAATTTTCAGAGTTTCTATCAAGTTTAGTCCTTAAATCAGATAAAGTAATTATTGTAGGTGATTTTAATATTCATGTGGATGTTGACAATGACAACCTTAGTAATGCATTTATATCACTAATAGACTCAATTGGCTTCTGTCAGAGTGTAAATAAACCAACTCATTGTTTTAATCACACTCTTGACCTTGTTTTATCATATGGCATTGATATTGAACATTTAATAGTCTTCCCACATAATCCTTTCCTATCTGACCATTATTTAATAACTTTTGAATTCATACTATTAGATTATAAACCATTAGGCAAAACCTCCTACAGCAGATGTCTATCTGACAGTGCTGTAGCTAAATTTAAGGAGGAGATTCCTTCAGTGTTTAATTCAATGCCATGTCTGAATTTAACAGAGTCCTATAACGACTTTAGTCCCTCTGAAATTGATAATCTTGTCGATAGTGCTACAGGCTCACTACGATCAACATTAGACTCTATCGCTCCTATAAAAAGGAAATTATTAAAACATAGGAGACTAGCACCTTGGTATAACCACCAAACCCGCCAGTTAAAACAAATAGCTAGAAAATCTGAAAGGAAATGGCGCTCTTCCAAATTATCAGAATATCGCTCAAATTGGCAAGATAATCTTAAAATTTATAGAAAGGCCCTCCGTAATGCCAGAGGAGCCTATTACTCAGCACTAATAGAAGAAAATAAGAACAACCCTAGGTTCCTCTTCAGCACTGTAGCCAGGCTGACAGAGAGTCACAGCTCTATTGAGCCACATATCCCCATAAACTTAAGTAGCAATGACTTCATGAGCTTCTTCTATAATAAAATTATTACTATTAGAGAAAAAATTAATCACCAACTGCCATCAACAGTTATCAGTGGCTCTCCAAGTTCAGGGACTTCTGTCAATGTAAACTTAGATATATATTTAGACTGTTTTTCTGCTATCGATCTTCATCAGTTAACTTCAATCATTTCTTCATCGAAGCCATCAACCTGTCTGTTAGACCCGATCCCAACTAGGCTGCTTAAAGAAGTTGTTCCCTTAATTGGCACTTCTTTACTGGATATGATTAATCTTTCTTTATTATCAGGATATGTACCACAGTCCTTTAAAGTAGCTGTAATTAAACCCCTTCTTAAAAAGTCCACTCTTGACCCAGGGGTTTTAGCCAACTATAGACCGATTTCTAACCTCCCCTTCCTCTCTAAGATTCTGGAGAAAGTAGTCGCCAAAGAGTTGTGTGACTTTCTACATAACAACAGTTTATTTGAGGATTTTCAGTCAGGATTTAGAGTTCATCATAGCACAGAGACAGCTCTGGTTAAAGTTAATAATGACCTTCTGACTGCTTCTGACAATGGACTTGTCTCTGTACTTGTATTATTAGATCTTAGTGCTGCATTTGACACCATTGACCATAATATTCTTTTACAGAGACTTGAGCATCAAATTGGCATTAAAGGAACCGCACTAAGCTGGTTTAAGTCATATTTATCAGATCGCTCGCAGTTTGTACATGTTAACGATGAATCTTCAATAAATACTACAGTTAGTCATGGAGTTCCACAAGGTTCTGTACTTGGACCAATACTATTTACTTTATATATGCTCCCTTTAGGCAACATTATTAGGAATCACTCCATTAACTTTCACTGTTATGCAGATGATACGCAGTTATATCTATCAATCAAGCCCGATGAAATTAATCAATTATCTAAATTACAAACATGTCTTACGGACATAAAATCCTGGATGACCTGCAATTTTCTGATGTTAAACTCAGAAAAAACGAAATTCTTGTTCTTGGCCCCAAAAACCTTAGAGACTCACTGTCTAAAGATATAGTCACTCTAGATGGCATTAACTTGACCTCTAGCACCACTGTCAGGAATCTTGGAGTTATCTTTGATCAGGATTTGTCATTTAACTCCCACATAAAGCAGACCTCTAGGACCGCCTTCTTTCATTTACGTAATATTAGAAAAATTAGACACATCCTATCACAGACAGATGCAGAAAAACTAATCCATGCATTTGTTACTTCAAGGCTGGATTACTGCAACTCTTTATTATCAGGTTGCCCCAATAAGTCCATTAAAACGCTCCAATTAATTCAGAACGCTGCAGCACGAGTACTGACAGGAACTAGAAAAGAGATCACATCTCTCCTGTACTAGCTTCTCTGCATTGGCTCCCTGTAAAATGTAGAATTGAATTTAAAACCAGCTTCCAGTTGTGGTTCGGGAGGCACCCTCTCCACATTCAAGAGTAGGCTTAAGACATTCCTCTTTGATAAAGCTTATAGTTAGGGCTGGATCAGGTGAGTCCTGAACCATCCCTTAGTTATGCTGCTATAGGCCTAGACTATCGGGGGATTTCCCATGGTGCACTGAGCTCCTCCCTTCCTCTCTCTTTCTGCACTCATTCATGTCCCATTAATGCATGTTACTAACTCCACTTCTTCCCCGGAGTTCTTGTGCTTTCTCGTCTCGCAGGTTCTCATGGATTCTGGTGGAGCCTCCTGCCATGGTCCTGCTTGACTGCCATTGCCAATACTGTTGTTGCTGTGCACCTGTCTGTCTGTCTGTCTGTCTCTGTCTCTCTCTCTCTCTGCCTCTCTCTCTCGCTCTCTCTCTCTCTGCCTCTCTCTCTCTCTCTCTCTCTCTCTCTCTCACCCCAACTGGTCGAGACAGACGACCACCCACCTAGAGCCGGAGGATCTGTCCTAGGTTTCTGCCTTTTAACAGGCAGTTTTTCCTTGCCCTTGTCGCCAAGTGCTTGCTCATGGTGGTACTGTTGGGTCTCTGTAATTAATGTTAAAGAGTTCGGTCTAGACCTACTCTATTTGAAAAGTGTCCTGAGATAACTTCTGTTATGAATTGGCGCTATACAAATAAAATTGAATTGAATTGAATTGAACCTCCGATTGGCGTAAATTGGTGATTGGTGTCATTACAGCCAACATGGATAACAACCTTACTATATTTACAGTACACACATGACATGCCTTATTCCATAATCACCCATCATCCGTATTGCTGCTGCTGCTCTGTACCACCACCCCAGGATCCACCTGTAGGCTCCGACTGGGGTTTAAGGTATTTGCGTATCACTCCCAATATCTCTATGTAAACATATCTGTGGGGAGTGATGAGGTCAGAGCCTAGACGCCAAAATCTAAATACTGCTTTGATAAGCATTTCAAACGTGAGTTGGCTGAATGAACTATCATTAACTTTTTGTATTTTATTGACATATGCACAACAGTTACAGTGAAGAAGTCATTGGCAATGAAATAATTAAATATATGGCTCCCTCCAACAACTAAAAATTAAAATCCTATAAAAGACATAAAATAGTGCAAAAGTATACAAAAGTATAATCATTTGCAAATTGAGTTAGGAGACAGGTTATGAACAGGATTTTAGATGGCAGTGCATTCATTAATATAAAAACTTTAATGTTTAAACAGCTTAAATAAAACATTATGATATACACAGTACATAGGTATAAAGGGCAGTAATAACTATATTTAAACAGATATGTAAACAGGTAGTCAACAGTCAATAATAGTACTATAAATGCAAATCTGTATCAATACGTTGTGAATTAAGTGTCTAGTAGCCGTGTTTCCATCCAAATGTATTGCAAATTTTAACTGAATATCAGCAGCGTTGTTTTAGTCTTGAACCTGTTGCTGAAAACATCACAGTGAGCATCTGTTCATCACTTTAGTGATGTAGTCTAATGTGACCTTTAAAATCAATCTGCATTAACCCACCAGTATATAAATATAAAAACATAATAAACACAGATTACTTAGATATGAAATAAATAAATACATTTTCATTCAGAATTCAGATAAATTGTAATCAATAACTACCTAAAACAGTTTTAGGCAGTTATATATATATAGTGAACATCAATGGTAAAAAGAAAATGGACTGTATTGTATAGTGCCTTTCTAGTCTTCGGCTACTCAAAGCACTTTAACACTACATGCCACATTCACCCATTCACACACATTCATACAATGATGGCAAAAGCCATCAAATGGAAACTAATACTTATTAATTCACATTTAAACACTGATGCACAGCATCGGGAGCAATTAAGGGTTCAGTGTCTTGCTCATTAGTGATGAGCAAGCTGATTAGTGGACGACCTGTTCTACCTCTGAGCTACTGTCGCCTGGAAAGATGACTTGTTTAGTGAATCTTGCAAACACACTCCATGTTGTCCCAATTTCCCACTACTGACTGAGATTGAGCAAGCTAGCTGACTGAGAGCTACACTGAGTTGCTACTATCACATTGATATTGACTGATATCAGCAGACATTGAAGTCAGAGTTACATAAATTAACATAAAATTATATATTGATATATGAATAGTTCAGTGACACTGGTGGAATTGTACTGTAGAAAGGTGAGCTACATTATACTGAATGTGTCAAGACAACAGACAAAAATGGTTGTATTGTGTACTTGTAGTGGACAACCCACAAGCCGCCCACATTTCTACTGACAATAGCTTAAGGCAGAGGCAGAGAAAATAGGTCTCACTAAGCTATTGAATATACTCATAAAACAAGGGAAAAGGAATGGGGAAAAAAGTGTTTTCCCTCAATTTCTGTTTTAAATAAAGACATGGGGTAGGCCCCAGCTATTTATTTGAAATAATACAGCACAGTATTTATTGAATGGCACCAGGGCTGGGCTATATTATACTGCATTCTTTGAAGTCTTGTGGGATTACCGTCAACATGTTTGGGATGATTATGTTGGTCAAGTAAGTAAGAAGTAATAATCTTTGAAGAAAACCCATGAGAAAATCACTTAGTGCTCCTTCAAAAACAATACAATGTCCTTTCTTTTTCCTTTAATCATTTCATTTACAGCAGACATCTAATATATCAGATTTATCATCTTTATAAGTATTTTTTCATCATCACTACTATCTAAAACAGCAGCCATTTTCACAGTTTTCATTAGAACACAAGCCAAGATCATCCAACTCAAAGCTAAAGCAGAAGTAATAAAAGACAAACATAATAGATCATTCAAAAAACTCATGCACATTCTTTACTCCCATGGAATACAGCATGACAAGCCTGGATACAAGCCTGTGCCAACTGATTCGCTTTGGTTTTACCAAGATAAACTGGATAAAAACAGTAGTAGCATTATCCACAAATATTGTGATAGCAAAAGAAGGTTTTCTTTTTCTGCTACAGATAAGGAGTATGAAATGCATAGAGAAAGTGGTGACTATCATCATTACTAAGATTGAAACTTTACTAAGATTTAAACCTGTAAACTGCATAAATACACTGTCACCTGGGACTCATAAATAATTGTGCTTTTATATACCTTTGTTTTATGACTTTATAGTAGGCTTACATAGTACCTAACCCAGAACGTAATAGCACTGCATTTGGCTGATGACTAAAGGTGTGTTCAGACCAATTCAGAAACAAATATGAACTCGTGAACTTGAATTTTAATTTGTCTTGATATTTGCACAAATATGACAGCTGGAGTGGTTTTGCAGTTTATTTTTATTTGCCCCAATGTGGCTGTACTGACTGTAAGCTGTAAACTTGCATGCAGTGTACTCATAATCTCAAGCCAGGTGGCTGGGTTCCTTGTGTTTGTTATCGTGTATGATTTTTGTGCCTTTACAAGCAAAGTGCTCCATAACTGTTTAAAATCTAGCATCTTAATACAATAAAAGTATGTATATACTTTGATATTTTTGCATCTTGTAAGGTTTCCATTCCATTAAAAGGTACTGCTATATCTGTTTATGTGCCTCATACATGGCTCATGCATCTGTCCAGCTTTACAGCTGAAGAACCAGCTGGTCGTGGCTGAGCTGTGATGTGTTGCTATGGATGGTCCATTCCTGGTTCAACACTGAGAGCTGATCATCTTGATGAAGAAGTTTAATATTAGGAATAAATAAATAATGTTTAATATATGAGTATTATCATTTCAGACTGATCTGCTAAATACCTTTATGGTTTAGCTTTTAAAAAAAATCTGTTATAGTAGTAGGAGTACCATTAGTAGTTTGAATAGAGAAAGAAGCCCTATAGGGAGTGCAGGGCAGTAATTCAGTGCTATGATATCATATAAAAATAGAATAAAAATAAACAAAAACGTAGTCTAACCACACTGGTCTCCAACTTAATTATGGGAAAGGGGTGACTCCCAGTTTAGAATTAAGATGTTGAAAGTAAATGTGTAAATGCCCTTTTAGCGTCTTAATATGCTAGATTTTAAACATGTTACAATGGTAAAAGTGAGTGACACATATAGAGTAACATATAGAAAGTAAGATGTGCACTTAATTACATAATTTTGGCCTCCTGGTTTGTGATATGCACTGTCAATGTGTGTGTCTGTTTATGTGAAAGATTCTGATGAACTCACCAGAAATTTTAATTATTTCTGGTACTATCTCCAGTCTCTCGCCTTTTCTCTAGTCTTTACACGTTTATGAACTGGAGTCATAAAGCCTTGAAACATTTTCAAATCAGTGCTAATTTGGTAATTCTAATCTTGAAAATATGTCCATGTTCATGTCCATATTAACTAACCTGCCTCTAAAATTGGCTTCAGTGTGAACACACCTTAACACTGCCCTATCGGCAGATACGTGACATTGGTAAAAATAACCTAATAACAATATACCTGTAACACCAACAAAGCCTTCTGTCAGTATGTTTTTTTGGTAAAATCTGCATTTTGATTAACAATAAATTAGGCACCTTTGACAAACTATGGAAATGTCCTTTAAAAATTTGAGGCATTCACCAGTAACAAAGGGAAAGATTGAAAGTCATCTTTTAGGGATTCATCATGCTGTAGTGAATTTACCCATGGTTATCTTAAAAAAAAAGACAAAATAATAGATTGTTTTTCTGGTAGAAATTAAAGATGCCATACTTACTGTTATACAGTTTACCTTTAAACATGTTTGGTGAGCCAAAATACTTGCAAATACTAGCACAGTACATATGAATCAAAACATAGACACCATCTAGCACCCCTGTGCCAAGGCTGTTCAGCCTGTCTTGTTTATTGTATTTTTCTGACAAATGATTCTCTTCATGAGGTACAAAAAACAAAAAGTAAAAATAAGCTGTACTACTCTACTTTAAAGCTACTATTTGGTGAACAAATGACTCAATTGATAGTATATGACAATGCTGCTCAAGCAATGTTGTAGGGTAACGCAAAGTAATATGTAGTGTAACAAATTACTTTCTGCAGGAAACAATTAAGTAAAGTAATGCATTACTTTGTATCAGAGTCACGCACAGGTCCAGTTTTGCAAACCCGCATCCGCCTGCACCCGCAGAGCTCAGAACCAGAACCGACCCATTACCCACAATTATCTTCAAGTCAAGTCAGACCTGACCCGTTAATTTAAGACCTACGATCCGACCCATGCTACACACACACTCATATTTTTACTTGTGCAATTATAAGTGTAACATGTAGAAACATGAATTAAAATCATAATTAGCCTTCAACCTGAATTAATCACCAACCGCTGCTGTGTCCAAACGATCAGCTGGGCACTGATGTCAATTAAGCCCTGTATCAGTTCACTAGGTCACTCTCCACACAGCGGTTTGGTCTGAGAGTTGTTGTTATTGGAAAGGTTTCTGATGGCAGAGCACCTGTTTTTCCTGCTGTAGCTGTATGTTTCCTCAGAGGATGTGCAAGCTTGTGGCTTTCACAATAAAAGAAAATACTGGAGGCTGATTGGCTTAATGATATTTAACAGATTTAAATGTTAAAAATACTGCACAGTCATTGTCATTTCTAATTTCTTCACAAGAAACAACACATTTTCACTCTCACCCGCTGCCCGCACACATTTAGTTTACTTTTACCCGTATCCGTACTTTATTTATTCATAAATATATTTATGAATAACCACTTTACTCGTTAGACAACATTTTTGCAGGTTACCTGTCCCGGTGCAGGACTCTACTTTGTATTATACATAACAACCCCAACACTGGTAAATTAGGGTCCATCATTTAGGGTCTATAAAGATCCACATCAGATCTCATGGTCTAGTTATTATCTAAAATGTTTCAGGGGGGACGATTCACCTTTAACAGATTATTTCCTGCAGCATCACTTATTTGTGTTTTTTTATGCATTTTTGTCATTCCGAGGTATACTTGCCATCATCTGTGGTTATTTGCTTTAAATTAAGATTAAGGGCTCTATCTTGCACTCAGCACAATTGACTTTGTACACTGGCGCTTGTATAATTCCTATTTTGCACTCGGCGCATATTGGAATTTTCCCTCCACCGATGCACGTCCTTAAATTAGGGAATGAACTTGCGCTCCGGGGGGCGGTTCAGCGAAAAGAGGAGGCGTGTTCCGGCGCAAACGTTCCCTGGTGCTATTTTGCTGTTTCAGAAAACAATTCCGCCACAGACCAGGAAAAACCTAGTCTACAGTCAGTGGCACTTATTCAGATGCTATTTTAAGGGCGCAGACTTGAGGGGATGCGCCTGAGAGGCAGCAGCAACATCGCCACACAGTCAAGATGGGCATTAATACTTTGCCGCATCCCAGACGGCTCCCGCTCCAGCATGTCAAACCCGGTTTGCTGCAGGAACGGGTGGTCCTCCACCGTGTAGTGGATCTGGATCCTCTGCTCCTTGGTGTTTGCGCTGCTCCCTCCTCAGCTGGCCCTTGCGCACTGCTCGCACTTCTCTTTCTCTTTTTTCCTTTTTAATTTCAGTCACACTCACTGTTGGCGACTCTATCTGAATTTCTGAGTTCATTGCTTTGGCACAGTAGAGATTAGTAGAGTTTGATCGATGGCACTGCACAAGTGAACATAAAATTAGAGAGATGAGGAGGTGAAAAAGCAGAAAAACAGTGTCACAGAGTTTCTCCTTGAACTTGCTCGTTGTTATTGAGTCCAGGCGAGGGTTTACTCTTCATGCCCTCAGTACCACCCCGCGATGTCTCCTGGAAGAAGAGGTGTGGCATCCACACTGACATGATGATCCGCTTGTACTCCCTGCGGAAGTTCTGGTTCAGCAGGCCATATATGATGGCATTAAGGCAACTGTTGAAGTAAGCCATGAAGTAGCTGACAACAAAGAGCCACTCAGGGATGCGAAGCGCCACTGCTTCAGGGTTGATAGCAACTGCAAGTCCAATAAAGTTAAGTGGTGCCCAACAAATTGCAAACAGCACAAACACCACAAACATGGTGATAAAGTTCCTCAGGTCGCTGGGCTTGATGCGAGGGCGAATCTCTGACTTTACCTTCCGCCTTACCTGAATGACCAGGATCCAGATACGTAAGTAGCAAAAGGTGACCACAGCAATAGGAACAAAGAAATGGATCACCACCACTGTGATTGTGTAGGACGTGCTGACTGTCTGTGCAAATGTGCATGAGTAGATGCGTGGGTCATACTGTAGTGAGCCAACAAAGAAGTTGGGCACGATGGCTATGACTGTCAGCATCCAGATGAGTGCCACCAGGAGCAGTGTGTTGCGGTAGCTGTACAGCTTGTCGTAGCTGAAGCTGTGGCAGATGTAACAGTAGCGATTGATGGCAATGCCTGTTATGTTGAAGATGGAGCCAATAACACTCAAGCCCATCAGGAAGCCACTCACCTGGGAGACACAGAGAAAGAGAGGTTGCTTTTATTTATTGTATAAATTAACAGTAGATTTTCCTTAATGAGAAATAACTTTCTCTGGCCACCCTAGTAGGGTAGAGTGGGTAGAGCATGTATTATGTGTCAAAGCTGAGTCCTTACCGCAGCAGCAAACTGCCAAAAATATATTTAGCTTGTAGCTTGCCACTTATAACAAAAGTGTAGTGCTGTTGTATTAACAACTTCCGATAAAAAGTAGCTTCATGAGCTGAGTTTCAAAGGAGCTTCCCCAACACTGCAGGTAAATGGGAGTGAAACACCAATAAAAAATTTATTAAAGCTGCAACTAGCGATGAAATGGCCCTCGTACTCCACGCAACTCAGGATTTGCGCATAAATCATATCAAAGTTGCCATGCAGCGCTTACTCCCTGTTGCCAGTAGGTGGCGCTATCACTATATCTGAATATTTTGTAGACGTGGTCAGGGCGGGACTCTTAATAAACGATTTTTGGTATGTGAGCTACAGGCACCAGTCTACACGTGCCCTTTGAATTTCATATTCATAACTATTATGGTCTCAACACAATGATTTACCCTGCCACCAGAGCGCCACCTAGTGGCGGATTGTTTGTTACATTTTTTAGCGAGGCTCAGGGTGCCATGGGCAATCATCATACCAAGTTTCGTTTTAATCACACATGCCCATGTGGAGATATAAACTTCTTCATTTTAAAGACCGCCACCTTGTGGCGATGGCCTGAAATTATGCACGATGCCTAAGGAAGACATGGGGAACTATGGACATTTTGGGCGATTTGCACAGATTTGATCGGAATTCAAATTTGGACACACCCATCTAAAGACATTCACAATTAAAAGTTGTGCTATTTACGACATTCCATCGAACAGTGTACACGTGGCGTAAAATTTCAACGACTCACCATGAAAGAGGGATTGCGTACATGATCCGATCGCAACGAAACTTCACACGTCTATGTGATAATATTCAGTAATAGTGAGAGTGCCACCTAGTGGTGGGAGGAAATGTCATTTTTTATACTTCCATGTTCTACGCCTAGCAGGATGATCAGAAAAAAAACATTGCTGAATAAAAGTTGTGCTATTGTGACTGTACGTTGAAGGGCGTGTCCGTGGCGTGCCGTCAAAGTTGGCCACTTTGAATCGAAAGTCAATGCCATTTCCGGCATTTCAGTGCTTCACTTTTAACTAACTCCGCTAAATTTCCATGGTTCGCAGGGAAGAGTCTCGCTATGAACGCATTAGAGTGTAGAGCGGTCTCCCTCAGCTTCCGGCGATGAGGGCTTGGGCGTGGGGTGACGTGGGGTGACATGGCGAGCCGCGGCTGCGGCAGGCGGCCGCTGTGCAGGCCCAGACGTAGGTTGATGGTGAGGTCCTGCCCAATGCTGCTTGCAGCTTTAATTTTAGTTGTATTTTTTGTATTTTTTCCACACCACATGACAATCGAGATTACTTTTGGAGCAATTTGATGAACTAAATTGTGGTATACAACTTATTAAGCATGTGAACAGTCTTTCATGTTTGGGTCTCTTAAGTCCTTCATAATGTGCTTTTTATATATATCAAAGTATGAAAAATGTCTCTTGTCTTCTTTTGTTGGATTCTCCTAACATTCTCCTTCTCATCGTGACTTCTCGTGAACCTTTATCCTACTGGTTTTCTTTTTGTTTCAAAATACAGCTGTTCAATAACTCATCAACTCTCCTATTAAGCTGCCAATACAGCAGGAGCGCACAGTGTGTTCTTGGGTGGGGGTTTATTGTTCATCACTGTGGATGCTCACATCGTTTTTGTTATTGTTCTTGACGGGCCTTTACAGTTTGATCAGCATTTTGTGAGTGTGCTGTGCTAGATTGCCTGCATTTGCATCCATCAACTTGACATCAGTCAACAGATCCAGTGTGTCTGTATCATAATAGTGATCCTATCAGCTGACTCTGCTGACTCTCACTTCACTGCAGGACTGAGAAGATCTGAGAAGATTTGTCCCCTGTAATGGCATTTTTTAAGAATCTATGTTACCCTATGACTTGGTTATTGTATATTCACATATGACTCTGTTCAAGAGTCATATCATATCTATTATAATGCATGTCACCTTTTGTCCTGTTTCTTCATGTGCTCTGTGTAATGTTGAGACTTCACTGTGCAGCCGAGGACCTGATAAGACCAATCGTTTTAACACCATCTGGTGACTGCCCAGTTCTCAGGAATGTGTAACTGTCTTAGTGTGATGCTTCAACAGGGATAAAACTAAACTGCTTCTTTTCTTCTGGGCTCTTTCGGACTTTCACATACAAGAGTGTGTGACGGTTGCGTTGAAACCATTCATGGATGACTTGAATAAAAACCTTACAGAAAGACAAAATCATACTTTGTATGCTTTATCAAACAAATTGCCACCACACCCCACAGTCATCACACTATTTAACCAATCAATCTGTAGTAAGCAAGGCTGTGTGCAGGAGATCCTCATTGTTTTCAAGGTGTGTTAAGCCCAGGAGGGGTCAGCAAATGATGGCACACAGATTGTTGTAGGACTTAAAGAAACTAGTTAAACCTGTATTCAGTTACCACCCATTCAGATATATATACCTTGGTTTGTTATTAAGAGTTGTATAGTGAGTGAATGATTTATAACTGAGTTTACTATATTATTTATTTGTTTCAGTACCACACACACACAGTTACATGCAGCATATATATAAAGAGATTATATTTCTCCTGTATTAGCTTAAATGGAAATGTTTTCAGGTAAAGGTAATACAACAGCTGTGTAGTATGTACAACATAATAAATACTAGGACAACATCATACAGGCCATGACCTTCTCTGCACATTACCACAAGAAAGAAAAAGCAATGGACAATGCACTTGTCTCAAGTGCTATTTGAAAACCTGCGATACAAGAACTCTGGGGAAGTAGTGAAGTTAGTAACATGCATTAATGGGACATGAATGTGTGCAGAAAGAGAGGGAGAGGAACAGAGGAGCTCAGTGCATCATGGGAAATCCCCCAACAGTCTAGGCCTATAGCAGCATAACTAAGGTATGGTTCAGGACTCACCTGAGCCAGCCCTAACTATAAGCTTTATCAAAAAGGAACTTCTTAAGCCTACTTTTAATGTGGAGAGGGTGTCTGTTTTCCAAACCCAAACTGGAAGCTGGTTCCACAGGAGAGGAGCTGGGTAGCTCAAGGCTCTGGCTTCTGTTCTATTTGACCTCATGACACTTTTGATATTGTATGATGAAAATGATATCCAGTCAGGACTCACCTTGCAGTGGGTGTCACCCAGTGACCAGCCATCATGGAAGATAGCGTATAACACCAGAGGGTAGGGGTAGAATGCAACCACCAAGTCAGCAAAGGCCAGGCTCACCACAAAGACATTCCCTGTAAAGGACAGAAGGAGAGGAAACAAAGCATCATGTGAGACTGTGATTGAAACTGTAACAACCTTGAGTGTAGCAGCGGCAGGTCCATGTATATGCATAGCCACACCACACCCCTGGCAGACAGACTGTCAACCAATTAGTCACAGGCACACAAACACAGGCAGCTAGAAAGAGGGTGGGGGGTGTCAGTTGGCCAGTCTGCGTCAAAAAGTCCAGGGCCATTTTTCATTCCCTTGTCTGTTACTGATAAGTGATTCTTTGTCTGTTACCAATAAACGTGCAAGTATAAAAATATTATTAAACAGAATCAACTAAAACCCACAGTATACACAATCTTGGGGAGCTGCATATGGCTACATTTGATCAACATCAAATCTAAAGTACAGGTAAGTGTATATTGTTATTTCAAAATGTTAAATGTTCATGATATTGCATATAAAGACCCATCATGTCCCATTAATCATAAAGTTAAGTAATGAGTGCAATCCACAGAGAGAGTAAGAGAATAAATGAACAGAGCAGTACATAGCTGAAATAGATAAATTATAAAGTTTGATTGCCACTGGAAGAAAGGATTACCTGTGGCATTCTGTGGTTCACTGTGGTGGTAACAGTCTACTTCTCTGTCTACTTGCTCCTGTGTCATGTCCATGTTGCTCCTCAGTTTGCATTGAATCCTCTTCACCAGAATGAAGCTCCATCACGTGTACAGAATCAGCCTTCCTGATGAACTTGTTGGTTCTAGTCTCATGGACTGTCCTAACCCTTCTAACCCAGCACACAAAAGCAAATAGATAGAGGTACTTTATTGATCCCGGGAGAATATGAAAGTGTTACAGCAGTTCACATTCAAAGTGACGATTTAGGTATAGACAAACAATAAGAAAACATATTTAAGAAAAAATTAAATAAAATACTCTATGACCTCTACCTCTGTATCAGTGAACAATGAAAATTACACATTCTCACTGAACATGAAACATAACTAAATACAGCAAATTGTCAAGGAAGACCAGGGCTAATCTCTAATCTGTTTTCATGTGTCAAGGATGTTACTGGTTCAGGGATCCAAGATATTTCTCAAATACAGCCAAGACAGAGACTGATGTGGGGAAAATGTATGTCCATTAAAAAGTTTTTGCTCAGATTGTTATGTGTCTGATGTTATGGAGAGGACCTGACAGAGACCATCAGTAATGCATTATTAGACTCAATTGGCTTCTGTCAGAGTGTAAATAAACCCACCCATTGTTTTAATCACACTCTTGACCTCGTTCTATCATATGGGATTAAAATTTAATCTTTGATAGTCTTCCCACATAATCTTTTTAAATCTGACCATTATTTAATAACCTTTGAATTCCTATTACTGGACTACAAGCCATGCCTTTTGCTGCATGTTCAAGTGTCCTTGAGCAAGATACTAAACCCCAAATTGCGTGTTTGAATGTGTGTGAAGACGTTTCCGTTCCGAAGAACAGTTGGCATCTTGCATTGATGCCAATACCATCAATATATGAATGTGAAGAAAATGAGAACAACCCCAGGTTTCTTTTCAGTACAGTAGGAGAAATTCTTCCAAAAGATTAAGATTTGCAATGCATCTGAAGAAATAACATTGTGATGAATCAAGTCTCTCTATTTCATGCAGCATGGAGAGAAGACCTCAGCATGGTTGTTCTCTCCCAGACTTTCAGAATGCTTTGCCTTATATACCATCAAGTATACAGAAGAACAATTGGTGACCTCCTGATGATTCACATGTCTATCTTCAATGGTGAATAAATGCACAACACTGACATATTTCATTGCATGAAAACTGGGATTTTTGTCAGTAAGCGGCACTGTAGATTGGAGTTTTACCCCAGGTGACATTTTTCTAAAAGGTAAGAAAGTCTCTGGTATAAATAGATCAGGCTCAGTATAGCCTAATTTCAGCTTGAATTGATTTATTTAATGAAAGTACGCTAGATTAATTACTGTGTATGTCATTAGCAACGGCAAATGTTATGTAAAAAGATACACAAATGTAGTAACTGTGAAGAATTGAGAGACATATATATGTCCTCATGTCCACTAGGGGGCGATGAGTAAGTTGTTACCTGTTGGGAATGCAATAGATGGAAAGAAGAAGAATTTAGTCCTGTTACTGTGAGAGATGATGTGATCGTGATATACACTGTGTTCGTCAGGAACAAAAAAAAACTTCCCCCATGTTCGGTAAGAAGCCTCTCGTGAGTTACTACAACAAAATAATTTATTTCAACAATTAGAAGAAACTGCTGAATGCTATCAGTGGGCTGCCGATGTGAATGAGCCGTTCACTCAACTCAGCAGTTCAGTAAACTCCAAGTTACCGTCCATGGAGGATAGGTTGGCTGCTTTGGAGTTGAAAAACTGTGCGGGAGACTCTAAAAAGGGAAGACAAATGCACAATCCCAAGATTGCGGTAAGAATATGTTCGGTGACTGCTATCTAAGCTAAAAGTAGCCTAAAAGCAAAGGTTTTTTTTATTAAAGGAGTCATATTATGCCCCTTTTTCAGGTTCATAATTGTATTTTGTGGCTCTACTACAATAGGTTTAGATGTTTTAATGTTCAAAAAACACATTATTTTTCTCATACTGCCTATAGCTGAGCACCTCTTTTCAGCCTCTGTCTGAATCGCTCAGTTTTAGCTCCTGTCTCTTTAAGACCCCCCTCCCGATAAGCCCAGTCTGCTCTGATTGGTCAGCATTATGACGCGGCTCACGCGGATGACGCGGCTCACGCGGATGACGCTCCGACCCCTCCCCTTCGTTGCCGGTGTGACAGTTTAACTGGTGGTTGAATTAACTGGTGATATTCCCGAGCATTGATGCAGATCTGTACACTAGAAATACTGACTGAATTGACTTCTTTTCATAATTTTAACCAACCAGAATGAAATCCATAACATTGTAAACACTCCATTTCTGATGTCTAATAAGATTAACAGAGGTACCTGGAGTTTCAATCAATTTTATTTGCGACGGCGATCTCCGGACGCTTGAAGAGAATGACACAGTAGGTGACTGTGTCGATGCCTGTTCCAAACACTGCAAATGTCAATAAATAATCCAAAAAATGTTCTTGCTGTCGTTTTACGAATCCTTATTAATCTGATATAAAGTCTATTTGAGAAGAGTTTATACTGTCACACAGTCTGTAAGGAAACATGCAGTATATGTTTAACGCAGTGTGGAGTCAGCTGTGGCAAAGCGTGATATGCCCAGATCAACAGGTGCCTACAACATTTTACCATCGATCATGTCGCATCTACACTTTATCTCACCAATCACAGTTTTATTATATACACAACAGCACACTCTTTCTTGCAAATTAGACAACTGTCAAATCTTATTTTGCAATAGGAACAGAAATTGGATAAAGTTAAAACTTTAATCAGTAGAGGGTCTACACTATACAAATCCTTTTCACATGTCACAACTTTGTTGGATTTTGAATAAATGGGACAGAGATTATAAAATGTGGTAGAATTGTGGTATTATATATTGAAACAGTCAGTATATGTTTAATACCATCTTGAAGTAGAGTTGTGGCAAAGCATTATATGATCAGATTAACTTGTGATGCAACGTCTGTCTACCATTGATCACGTTTCATATTAAAGTTGACAGACTTTTATCTTTTATTTATATTCTGTACATGTCAGCAAAGTCTTTCAACCAAATTACATATTGTAACTAATTTTGCAAATAGGAGCAGAAGTTGGATGCCCAGCTGAACACAGCTTATTCAAATCCACAGAGTTGTGACGTGCAGCAAACATGTTGACTGAATTTTGTAGACTATTGGGATGAAACGTCTAGATTTTAGTTTTAGATTAAACTCGATCGTCAGTAAATACAGATAGTGTAGCATGAATGAATGTGCACTCTGCCACAGCTGCTCAGACTGATTCATTTATTGACGTTATCAGTGTTATGTCACATACATTACCATTCCCTATAGTCCTCACTTTATACTCTTACAGATTTGAGAACCTACTGGTTCCAGAGGAATACATAAATATTCATTATAGAGACGTTTTTCACATGAGAAACTACGAGCATTGAGCTCATCATTGCAACCAGTCTCACTCAGGATAATATCACAGGTTAATCCAAACTCGAGCTACTCCGTTAATGTGGTTTTACGATAGTGCGAGTGTGTGGTTGCCTCTATAAACAATTACATTTTGGTGTGTTTAAATTATTTAAAATAGTGTTTCTAAGATGTATTGTAAAGCTATTGTTTGATTACAATATACGATATCCAAAGGAGTCTTTCTTCAATGTAATGTTATACTCGGGAAGGACTCAGAACTGAAGCAACGGTAGCGATCAGCAGTTGTTAATGTCACCATGACAGCAAATAATAGTTCCGTAGTGAGGAGCAGACACCAACATTATTGTTCCAGTAAAGAGTTTCTATTGCAGTGTTTTAAAAGTCACCAACAAATGAATGTCATAGAAGTAGTCAGAATCTTTATTTCCTGGTTCGGCAATAAGGGGTCCTAAGAAGCCACGCCTACACACATCTGCCTCAGTATCACCAGTTAACTCAACTCCAGTTAAACCGACACACCGGCAGGTAGCTCCTCAGTGCTCCTGAGTTTAGCTGCATTTCTACCGTCAATATTAATTCAATAACTGCTTCTAAACCAAAAACTTCACCAGTGGACATGTTAGAGCGGGAGTCTGACCTGAAATCACAGAGAAATGAACAACATCAACAATCAGGATTATAGCTTTCTGTGACATTTCCTCAGGTAAATACTGATTTATTAACTACATATACATACATATAACTAATATATTAACCTCTATCTATCACATAATGTTAGTGTTTATACCTTAACTATGAGAACCAACACTGTGTTCTATGCTTGTCTTTACAGGTACAGCAGTGAGCAGTGACCTACAGTCTACACAGCCCAGTGAAGTTAAACATATTATATATTACATAATATTAACAACATTAGTCAAGCAGTTATTTCTAGTGAAGAAACAGCCAGTAAATGTACCAAAGTAATCAGAGTAATAGTATAATGATTACTGTAACCTCCCATCTGTTATATTCTTTTTACACATTAGTTTACTGAGACCATGGAAACAGAAACCTGGAATACTTTATCCTGTACAACATGTCAACATAACTGAAGGAATTACTCATCTAATAAAGTAAATTGTTTATGGGGTTTAAAAACTGCTAAGTAACCAACTGTTAACAGTACTGTATCCATATTTCATAGTCTGATATTTTAACTAAGTATTATTACCAAACTTAATCTTTTTTATATTTGTAAAAGCTGCAATTATGTTTAAACCCCATTAAAAATACTGTATACTGAATATTCTATCATTTATATATTGTGATGTAATTTATCTTCCAACATAATAAAGTTTGAATGTGAGACAGTAATGTATTGTGTTGCTTACAGTCATTAATACAGGTTTAAATTTCACATTTTCATATTGATAGATGACCAGATTTTCAACTCTTTCAAAATCTTCATAAAACCTCTGTGGGCTGTTAAATATCAGGTCTCTGTCCTCTAAAGCTGTTTTAGTGAATGAATTAATATCAGACTATGATATTGATTTACTTTGTCTTACTGAGACCTGGTTGTCCCACGAGGAGTATGTTAGCCTAAATGAATCCACCCCCCCAGTCATATTAATACTCACATTCCTCGAGGCACAGGCCGAGAAGGTGGAGTGGCAGCCATATATGATTCGAGCGTTTTAATGGACCCTAAACCTAAACTAAATTATAATTCATTTGAAAGCCTTGTTCTTAGTCTTTCTCACCCAAACTGGAAAACACTGCAGCCAGTTCTATTTGTTACAGTGTACCGTGCTCCTGGACCGTACTCTGATTTTATATCTGAATTTTCAGAATTTCTATCAAGTTTAGTCCTTAAATCAGATAAAGTAATTATTGTAGGTGATTTTAATATTCATGTGGATGTTGACAATGACAGCCTTAGTAATGCATTTATATCATTAATAGACTCAATTGGCTTCTGTCAGAGTGTAAATAAACCAACTCATTGTTTTAATCACACTCTTGACCTTGTTCTATCATATGGCATTGATATTGAACATTTAATAGTCTTCCCACATAATCCTTTCCTATCTGACCATTATTTAATAACTTTTGAATTCATACTATTAGATTATAAGCCATTAGGCAAAACTTCCTACAGCAGATGTCTATCTGACAGTGCTGTAGCTAAATTTAAGGAGGAGATTCCTTCAGTGTTTAATTCAATGCCATGTCTGAATTTAACAGAGTCCTATAACGACTTTAGTCCCTCTGAAATTGATAATCTTGTCAATAGTGCTACAGGCTCACTACGATCAACATTAGACTCTATCGCTCCTATAAAAAGGAAATTATTAAAACATAGGAGACTAGCACCTTGGTATAACCACCAAACCCGCCAGTTAAAACAAATAGCTAGAAAATCTGAAAGGAAATGGCGCTCTTCCAAATTATCAAAATATCGCTCAAATTGGCAAGATAATCTTAAAATTTATAGAAAGGCCCTCCGTAATGCCAGAGGAGCCTATTACTCAGCACTAATAGAAGAAAATAAGAACAACCCTAGGTTCCTCTTCAGCACTGTAGCCAAGCTGACAGAGAGTCACAGCTCTATTGAGCCACATATCCCCATAAACTTAAGTAGCAATGACTTCATGAGCTTCTTCTATAATAAAATTATTACTATTAGAGAAAAAATTAATCACCAACTGCCATCAACAGTTATCAGTGGCTCTCCAAGTTCAGGGACTTCTGTCAATGTAAACTTAGATATATATTTAGACTGTTTTTCTGCTATCGATCTTCATCAGTTAACTTCAATCATTTCTTCATCGAAGCCATCAACCTGTCTATTAGACCCGATCCCAACTAGGCTGCTTAAAGAAGTTGTTCCCTTAATTGGCACTTCTTTACTGGATATGATTAATCTTTCTTTATCAGGATATGTACCACAGTCCTTTAAAGTAGCTGTAATTAAACCCCTTCTTAAAAAGTCCACTCTTGACCCAGGGGTTTTAGCCAACTATAGACCGATTTCTAACCTCCCCTTCCTCTCTAAGATTCTGGAGAAAGTAGTCGCCAAAGAGTTGTGTGACTTTCTACATAACAATAGTTTATTTGAGGATTTTCAGTCAGGATTTAGAGTTCATCATAGCACAGAGACAGCTCTGGTTAAAGTTAATAATGACCTTCTGACTGCTTCTGACAATGGACTTGTCTCTGTACTTGTATTATTAGATCTTAGTGCTGCATTTGACACCATTGACCATAATATTCTTTTACAGAGACTTGAGCATCAAATTGGCATTAAAGGAACCGCACTAAGCTGGTTTAAGTCATATTTATCAGATCGCTTGCAGTTTGTACATGTTAACGATGAATCTTCAATAAATACTACAGTTAGTCATGGAGTTCCACAAGGTTCTGTACTTGGACCAATACTATTTACTTTATATATGCTCCCTTTAGGCAACATTATTAGGAATCACTCCATTAACTTTCACTGTTATGCAGATGATACGCAGTTATATCTATCAATCAAACCCAATGAAATTAATCAATTATCTAAATTACAAACATGTCTTACGGACATAAAATCCTGGATGACCTGCAATTTTCTGATGTTAAACTCAGAAAAAAACGAAATTCTTGTTCTTGGCCCCAAAAACCTTAGAGCCTCATTGTCTAAAGATATAGTCACTCTAGATGGCATTAACTTGGCCTCTAGCACCACTGTCAGGAATCTTGGAGTTATCTTTGATCAGGATTTGTCATTTAACTCCCACATAAAGCAGACCTCTAGGACCGCCTTCTTTCATTTACGTAATATTAGAAAAATTAGACACATCCTATCACAGACAGATGCAGAAAAACTAATCCATGCATTTGTTACTTCAAGGCTGGATTACTGCAACTCTTTATTATCAGGTTACCCCAATAAGTCCATTAAAACGCTCCAATTAATTCAGAACGCTGCAGCACGAGTACTGACAGGAACTAGAAAAAGAGATCACATCTCTCCTGTACTAGCTTCTCTGCATTGGCTCCCTGTAAAATGTAGAATTGAATTTAAAATCCTCCTCCTCACCTATAAAGCTCTTCATGGTCAGGCCCCTTCATATCTTAAAGAGCTCATAGTACCCTATTACCCCACTAGAACACTACGTTCTCTGAATGCTGGGCTACTTTTGGTTCCTATAGTCTCTAAAAGTAGAACAGGAGCCAGAGCCTTCAGTTACCAAGCTCCTCTCCTGTGGAACCAGCTTCCAGTTGTGGTTCGGGAGGCAGACACCCTCACCACATTCAAGAGTAGGCTTAAGACGTTCCTCTTTGATAAAGCTTATAGTTAGGGCTGGATCAGGTGAGTCCTGAACCATCCCTTAGTTATGCTGCTATAGGCCTAGACTATCGGGGGATTTCCCATGGTGCACTGAGCTCCTCCCTTCCTCTCTTTATGCACTCATTCATGTCCCATTAATGCATGTTACTAATTCCACTTCTTCCCCGGAGTTCTTGTGCTTTCTCGTCTCGCAGGTTCTTATCGATCCTGGTGGAGCCTCCTGCCATGGTCCTGCTTGACTACCATTGCCAATACTGTTGTTGCTGTGCACCTGTCTGTCTGTCTGTCTCTCGCTCTCTCTCTCTCTGCCTCTCTCTCTCGCTCTCTCTCTCTCTGCCTCTCTCTCTCTCTCTCTCTCTCTCTCTCTCTCACCCCAACTGGTCAAGACAGACGACCACCCACCTAGAGCCGGAGGATCTGTCCTAGGTTTCTGCCTTTTAACAGGCAGTTTTTCCTTGCCCTTGTCGCCAAGTGCTTGCTCATGGTGGTACTGTTGGGTCTCTGTAATTAATGTTAAAGAGTTCGGTCTAGACCTGCTCTATTTGAAAAGTGTCCTGAGATAACTTCTGTTATGAATTGGCGCTATACAAATAAAATTGAATTGAATTGAATTGAATTGAAATAACATGTTATTTATATAAAACCACACTTATTACTGAATTTAAAAATGACCAAAACTCTTCTTAAAAGTAAAACACTTTATTTATATTTCATTCATATTCCAGTTAGACATGTTGTAAGTAACAAAGCTATAACTTTTATGTAAACTGTGCAGATCATGTCCTCCATCAAGGTTTATGGTTTCTAGTATACTGAAGTGTGAGCTGGTAATGGAGCTCTGCAGTCACTGTTCATCTTCATAAGTCTTCCTTTGGATACCCAGACTGTTTTGAAGCTGCAGCTGTCTCTGTCCTCTGATGGGTCCAGGAATACCTGAGCTTCATCAGGTCACCTGTAAAACATGGAAGATTCAGTGCTACTTGTTAACTCTGGTGCACGTTGATCAAGTTAATTTACACACCGTAACACACACACACACACACACACACACACACACACAGCTGAACGAAGCAGAGAAACAACAAAGCTAACGCTAGCTGAGATAACGTTAGCACGTCAATACAAAGTTACACAAGAAGCATCATGAAAAATAATCACCATAACTTACTCCCCGTATTTTGTTAGCTTCTAAGGAGGCTTGATCACAGTTTGACTATTTCTCTCTCACAATAGCTCTATCTTTACCTCCGGTAAATTTACATACAGCAGGGCACGCGCACACACGCATGCACGCACACGCACGCACGCACACACACACACACACACACACACACACAGACACCTGGGCGGAGCAGGACTATGGCTTCGGAACAACAAAGCTAGCGCTAGCTGATAACGTTAGCACGTCAGTATAAAGTTACACAAAAAGCAACATGAAAAACAACCACCAGGCTCCAACCTAATTAACAGTTAACGAGGGTTATCGATCACACTGCCCCTCATATTACAACATAGTCCGACAGACTCAGTAACTATAGTAACACAGTGACATCACAGAGCTGCTGTGTGCTAATCAAAGCTACAATCCTAACGTACCGGAACCCAGACCCGAACGCTGTTTTTGCCGGCGTCGGGACCCGAACGACATCCGGCTTGACGCAGTTTCCAGTCTTTTCGCGGTACTTCCCGGCACACGATCGCCATCTAACGTAAGTCCAAGGAATTTCTACATTTTACAGAGTCTATATGTGGTTTTTCATAAATATACATCAACATTTACATGTATAATTATTATATGAAAGTTGCTTTAATGAGGGGAAGCCGCGGGAACGCTTAGATTGCGCTTGGGCGACGATCCAGTCAACTTTAAAAGTCCGTTTCTATTTTCACTTAACAGCTTAAATAAGCTCTCATATGGGTACATATTGTAGCTAGGTTTACACTGATTAGTCTAGCTAATGAAAATGTCGGATATTGTGTTTATACAATCTGTGGTCGAGGTGGACGGAGGCCAATTTTTTTTATTGAAATTGAAAAAGTTACAGAAGCGGGAAAGGAGAACAAAGGAACAGAGCAAGCGCAGCATTGTTTTTTTAAACTGTGAAGTATCACAGTACACATGAAGATTTAATGCAAAAATAAGGTTCAAATTAGCTATTCAGATGTATTTTCTTGTTTATAAGCTAAAATAAATATATTTTTTATCATGATGTCATCATGTAATAATTGATATTGGTGTGTGCGTGTGAGTAAGGGAGAGGGAGGGGTGTGAGAGATGTGTTGAAAGCCAGTAGAGGCTTTTATGATAGAAAATATTGGTTATATAGATACACCTCCTTATGTATAAAACCAGTATTGTTGAAACTCAATTTTGCTCTTGTGTTTCTGTCTGAGAACAGAGACAGACGAGAGAGAGAAAGAGAGAGAAGAAGAGAGAGAAGACGAGAGAGAAGACAAGAGAGAGAAAGAGAGAGAAGAAAAGAGAGAAGACAAGAGAGAAGAAGTGAGAGAAAGAGAGAAGAAGAGAGAGAGGTTTCAAAATCCCTTTATTTTTCCATTTCAACTATAAATCAGATCACTTTGCATCATCACTTCAGGACAAACCAAGAACACATTTCAAAAATGTTCAATCAACTCCCCTTCTGCCCCCACAGAGCACAGAACCCCCCCAACAGCCCATATGCGACTGAATGCCTGTATATTGTCCATCATGTGGTAATAAGCATGTTCCACTCTCAGTCGCGACTTCAGCAATCCTTCCAGAACCGGCAACAGCTCCACACTGCCGGTACCCTGAACCCGGTTTCTGCGAGTCAGCCAAATAGCTAACTTTGCAGAGCCAGATAAAAGTTAATCAATGTATGCACTGACCTCTTTTTTTGCACAGTACTTTGGACCAAAAATAAACAAGCAAACAAAGAAAACCTCCCCAAGACCCTGAACCCACCTTTTAAAAAGCTGAAACAAAACCGTCAGCCGAGGACACTGCATAAATAAATGTTCCAGAGTCTCAACCTGAGAACAGAATATACACTCCTCCCCCAGCTCCGGATCCAGGTGCGCTCTGTATCTGTTTGTGGCTATTGCCCCATGTACAACCCTCCACTGGAGGTCTGCTGCCTGCTTTTCAATGGGCAGCTTGTACAGGGACCGCCAGCTGCCTTTCGGGGAAAAACCTGGACCAAAAAACTCAGTCCACCTCGACTCATTCACCCCTACCAAGGAACGCAGGTTCAGGACTTTCACACAGGTTTGATATACTGCCAGTTTCCCTGCAGCCTGAAACTTGTCCAGGTGAGGAATTGTGAAAGACAGCAGCTGAGTGCCTCCCTCCTGCCACGCTCCCACAGCGGGAGTGATAACCAGAGATGGGAAACTGTACTCCCCCTCCTCATCCCACTGGTCACACAGAGCTTGGTTTGTGATAAACGCCCTCAGGGATTGTGGCAGGGCAGCACAGACCTCCTCCACCACTCTGTTGATTAACCTGATAGATGTGATGTTACTGTTCCTCCTCAGAGTGTCCACAGCTGTCATCTTCATCAGATGACCCAGTTTAGTGCAGGCAGCCTCTCTAAAGTTGACTCGCAGACTCACAGACTGCAGTGTTTGAGTTCTTATAAAATTGTTAAAAAACAATGGCTCCTCAAACAGCCACATGCCCGGAGTTTCACTTTTTTCACGATCAAACTTAAAAACCTGCCATGCCTGCAACACAGAGCTGTAGAATGACGTCAGGCCAGTAAGATCCACGTTCTCATGGTGTAGGAGGAAAAGCTGTTTGTCATAGCCCAACCGCCCAGCTCTACTTAGCAGCAGTCGGGCCATATCATACCATCCTGGGCCGCAGCTGTACAGCAATCTCTGTGCAGTCTGCAGTCTAAATGAAGCTATTTTGGACTGGATGCTCATTAGTCCCTGCCCACCGTCAGCCACAGGTAGGTAGAGGATAGCTGCACGGACCCAGTGCTTGCCAGACCAGAAGAAATCCAGTATGGCCCTCTGAACGTCCTCTATCAAGCCTCTTGGTGGCGTCAGAGCAGTGAGTCTGTGCCAAAGAGTTGATGCGACCAAGTTATTGGCAACCAGAACTCTTCCCCTATACGACAGCTGGGGTAGCACCCATTTCCATTGAGACAACCGAGCGCACACTTTCTCCTTCACTCCCTCCCAGTTCTTAGCCTGAAACCCCTCAGTGCCCAAGAACACTCCCAACACTTTCAACCCTTCCTTCCCCCATTCAAGTGCTCCAGGCAGACTTGGTACTGCCCTATCCCTCCACTGCCCCACTAACAAGGCTTTACTCTTCACCCAATTTACTCGGGCAGA